TGGCGCTGCCGAGGGGCGCCCGCCCGGCCGCTGAAGCCCGGGACGCGCCGCCCGCTCGCGCCCTCCGCCCCCCAAGATGTGGCAGAACGTCGGGCTGACCCTGCTCGTGTTCGTGGCCACGCTGCTGATCGTCCTGCTGCTGATGGTGTGCGGTGAGTCAGGGCATCCGCCGTGGGGCACCTCCACACGCCCGCGCGACTCAGGTTGCTCACTTGCTTGTTTTGTCCGCTTCATAAAAAGAAAGAGGGATGGGTGGACAGGGCTCTTGTAATCGTCTGTTGTCCCCTTACCTCGCGGGAGTGAGCTCAGAGATGTGCCCTGACCGATGGCAGGCCCGGGGCACCCTGGACAGGCATAGGACAGGATCCAGGCCTGGGCATCTTGACTCGGGGCTAAACCAGACGTCGCTTCGCCGGCAGCGTCTCCTCTTGCCATTCGTGCCAGTCTGCCCAGATTTGAACCCTGGCCTGTATTCGAAGGTGAAGTGATGGGTTACTCCCGTTTTTTCTTTTCACAGGTTCTGACCCTAATGATAATGAGAGGTTTCACTTCCTTCATTTAATCAGGGATTAGGGCACAGGTGGGTTTTCAGCACACGTGAAATTGTTTGTTTATTTCGAGTTCAGGCTTCAACTAAATTCCAAGCAGAGCTGCTGAGATCAGGCAGAACTACAGACACCGGCTATCTTAAACTTCCAGGGCCATTGAAACTAACTCTTAGTTCTGCAATAATGGTGCTATTTTGTGTGCAGTGGTTATTTTCCGTCTTGGAATGAGAGGACATTAAACTTTCTTAAGGCAGTTTTAGATCTTTTTGATTCTTTATACACAGTAACCGATAACCGCAGATCTATTAGCAACGTGACTGAGCAACTGTGAAACTGTAAAAAGTGTTTAGAACAGATGTCAGTGAGTTTATTCATATTTACAAGAATGAGGTATGGGTTCAAGTTGATGCAATAATTGGTCAGAATTCATAATAAATACTGTAGGGCTTATTCATTACACAGTTAATGTACTAATTAATGCTTGGTATTAGAGCTGTGCTTGCAGAAGATAATAGGGTGTGCTTGTGCATCTGCGTTTATATGTACTTGTACCTATATACTCATATGTATATTTAATGTTTGGTTTTGCTTTACTGTGACACCGGCGCTCCCGCTGCGGGTTCGGATCCTATATAGGGATGGCCAGTGCGCTCGCTGGCTGAGCGCGGTGCGGGCGACACCAGGCCAAGGGTCCCGATCCCCTTACCGGTCACAAAAAGGACAAAAAATAAATAAAAATAAAATAAATGTTCTAACTTATAGCCTTTTTTTCTGATGAGATATAGTTGAACAATCTTTCTCAATTTTCTGCTTGTCATGTCAACATTTCGGGCTGATTGTAGATGTTCAGGGTCCTTCAAGTAAGGAAAACCAGATCCTTGTGATTTGTTTGAACGTGGGGAAGGAGGAGTGCTTATGTCATCCTTTCTAATTGGGACATGCAAGCTACCTGGACAGGAGGATGTGACATATAGACCATACCACACCTTGGATAGAATGTTTGCCAGACTTACATTTGGGGCATCAGAAGGTTTATTTTCTCCTGAGGCCTCTCTCCTTGACTTCTAGATCGAGGTGTTCTCTCTGTGTCTTCATGTGGTCTTTCCTCTGTGTCTGTGTCCTAATGTCCTCTTCTAAGAACACTAGTCATACTGGATTAGGGCCCTTGCTCTTATGACCTCATTTAACCTTAATTACCTCTTTAAAGGCCTTATCTTCAAGTACAGTCACATTGAGGGTTAGGATTTCAACCTGTGAATTTTAGGGGAGGGACACAGTTTAGTCCATAACAAGCACTATGTCATCAACACTGGCTGAAAGGTAGGGAGTTGCTGGATAGTTTAGTTATGTGCCCTTAAAAACAATTGTTCTTGCTTTTCTACTTCAGAGATTTCATGGACTGCCCTTCCTTAAACCCCAACGTGGAGTTCAGATTAAGAGCCTCTGCCTTTTAGGCTTAGTTCTCCTGTTTTCTGATTTCATTCAGTTCAGCAGACTGAATGTTGAGTGCCTGCTGGGCACCAGGAACACAGAATTTATGACGGGGTCTGCCCCAAGGAATTCAAAGCTTAGTTTGTTTTAAAACTTGGACAAGCCTTTTCACATAGTGAATTCAGGTTCCTAGGGAGGTTTTCCTTCTCTACTGGTTGTCTCTGCTTTCTCACCTCCCATTTATTCTCAATTGTTGCCTACCCCCATCATTCACTGAAGCTGCCCTTGTCAAGGTCAGTAACAAATGGCCTCCATATTACCAAGCTGGTGGGTGCTTATCAGTCCTAACTGAACTTAACCTGTCATACTCATCCTGTACAGTTAAGCATTCTCTTCGAGAAGCATTTCTTTTGACTTTTGTATACTGTCCTTCCATGGTGTTCTTCCTACCACGGTAGCTAATTGTTTAGCTTTTCCTGGCTTCTTCTTCTCTAGAATTTGAATTCTTTTTGACCACAGCCTACAATAGGAAGTACATTATTCACAGTAAATTCATAAATGAATAAATTACATGTGTCTTTTTATATGTATATCTACCTATCATCTGTCAGAAATAAAGTTTATGAGCTAGTACTTCCATGTGAGATGCATGCTATTTCCTATTCTATTATATTTCTATAATATAATACAAATATATTTTTGTTTTCTCTTTTTCTTCTGCCTATTCTCTCCCTATGGTATCTTATCCAGTCCTAGAGATTTAAATACCAACTATAGCTAATGATTCTAAAATTTATATCTCCAACTCTCACTTCTTTCCTGAGCCCCAGGCTCATGCATCAGACTTTTTTAATTGATATCCCCACTTGGAGATCTAATAAGCATCTCAAATTTAATACACCGAACACTCAGCTCTTGATTTCTACCACTGGTTCCAACCCCGCTCCCCCACCCCCACCCCCACGTCTTTCCCAGCTGAAATGTTATCTGCTTCCATTCAGTGGTTCAAGCCAAGGAATTAGATATCATCCTTGATTTTGTCCTTTCCTTTAAGCAGATCAAGTATGCAAGTCTTCTCAGTTTGATCTCTTTAAAAGAAAATCTGGAGTATGTTCTCTTCTCCATGACTATCACCACCACCGCAATCATCAATTTTGGCTTGCCTTTGTTTCCTAACAAGTCTTTTTTTCAACCCAACTTTTCTTTATAATCCACTTTTCACATACTAGCCAGGCTGTTTTATTGAGAAAATATTTTATCAAAAGTTTTTTTCCCCTTTCTGTAATCTTTTTTTTATTTTAACTTCTCAATATACATTGTAGTTGATTTTCGTGACCCTTTACCCGTTCCTTCCCCCCCTTCTCCCCTCCCCCACTATTTATAAAAAGTTTTTAACAGAAGAAACAGTTTCAAAAGTCAATAGTACTTCTAAAAAGAAGTAGTTCCTTTTAACCCTCAGTTTCACTCTTCTACTAGTTATTTACTTCTATATTTCTAAATAGCATTTTCATTGCTATTTCTTGAGTTTGCAGTTTTAGACATTATTTACTAACCATGGTAGATTCCTCATTTCTTTCCTTGCTTGCCATTAATAGCACAGTTTTTGTCTAACTTAAGAGTAAGAATTTATATTTTGACTGTGTAAATATTCCCTGCTGGTCAAATAGAGTAATATGATCATACCTCCTTTCTTATATGGTTCTCTATATTCCTTGAAGTTACTAATTGCATTTTAAGTTTACCTGGTATTACTTTTTTATATGCACACATTGTTATTTGTTCTCCCACAGATGTTCCATGAACTCTTACACACACCCATCAGTGATATTTCCCATATGTTCAAAGGAATTGGTCTTCCCCTCCTTCCCCCACCCAGTCCCCCACCTTCCTTCTCAACGGCTGTCATTCTTGTACAGAAGTCTGTACTTTCTCTGCTACCCTGTTCTGTCCCCTGTTTTCTGGCTCTCATGTCATGCCCTATCTGCAATGAGTCTTGGTTTACACACTGATTTTGTTGGAGCACATTTTCTAGGAGCTTTCTGAGAAAGAATGCATGTAAAATAATTTGAACAAATGCGTGGCTGAAAATGTCTTTTTATTTATTTCGTTTTCTACCCTTATATTTGATTGGCAATTTGAATAGATTTGGGTTGGAAATAATTTTCATCCAGAATTTTAAAATTATTACTTCATGGATTTCTAGCTTCCAGGTCTGATGTTGAAAAACTTAATGCCTTCTGTTTCCTTGTCATGATAGGTGACTTCATTTCCCTTTATAGAAGCTTTTTGGGTAGGCTTTTTATCATTTCATTCTGAAATGTTGTAATGATATACCTTGGTTTGTGTTTTTCATTTTTCTGGGCCCTTTCAATTCAGATATTTTCTTCATTTTGGGGAGAATTTTTTACTAGATCTTTGATAATTTTCTCTCTCCCATTTTTTTTTTTTTGTTTGTTTGTTTTGTTTTTTTCTTTCCAAAACTAATGTTAGTTGGATGTTGGAACTCCTGGGCTGATTCTTTAATTGTATCTTTATCTCCTGTTTTCTGTCTCACTTGTCTTCCCACGTTCTTCTGGCTGTTGTCTTCTGTTGAATTTTTATTTTAGCTATCCAAGCTATCCAGTTTTTAATTTCACAGTTTTCTCGTTCTTTGGTTATTTCTTTTGTATAGCACCTGTTCTTGTTACATGTATGCAGTATCTTATCTCCCTAAGCATATTAGTTACAGTTTTTTGTTTGTTTTTGGCAGCTGGCCAGTAGAGGGATTGAACCCTTAGTTACAGGGGGTTTTTTTTATTTTTTTTATTTTTTTATTTATTTATTTTTACTAAATTTATTTTATTTTATTTATTTTTTTTGTTAAATTTTTATTTTGTCAATATACACTGTATATGATTATTATGGCCCATCACCGACACCTCCCTCCCTCCTCCCTCTCTCCCCTCCCCCCCAAGAATGTCCTTTCCGTTTGCTTGTTGTAGTAACTTCATGAAAGTATAGTTGTTATATCTTCTTCCCCCCCCCCCCCCCCCCCCCCCCCCCCCC